CAGCTAGCTAAAAACCGACTAAAAGCATGGGAGAGCTCTCTCTCACTGTCTGTGCTGCAGACAGCACAGTCCAGGAGTAGGATGCAGGGGAGCAAGTGCAGCTCCTGATAACAAATTCTGAGCTGCTTCTCCCCCACTTTGCTCTCAGAACCAGTCTTAAGGGTGCAAAACTTATTTCTGGGCTAAACAGATGGATGGGGTACAAGCATCATAAAAGTCACCCCAGGACAAAATGTACATTTGTATTGTGCCTTTTTAGAAATTACCTAGGTAGATAGATTAATTAGTAGCTCAGTACATAAACTCTAAACGGAGGGCGTGGTCCCAAGTAAGGGTCCCATGTTTGTAGAAGCTCTTTTAACTTAAAATGTATTTGCTAAAAGACTAGAGGGGAACAGGAATTCCTGCTGGAAATTCAAGCCATGCACATTTCTCTGAGAATCCAATCAATTCTCTATTGTATAATCCAGTGATTTAAATTCCTTTTTTTGACCACTTTGCCAGCTTAATGGAGACAGCTCTGGTCTGAGCTACAGAATAAATGAGAGAGCCTTCAAATTCCCCTGAGAACCTCTATTCCACCTCTGGCCTGCTTCCAGTACAGCAGTAATTGTACAATTATAGCAGCATTACATATAGAAAATTAACATGAGTTCTTAAGTCGTTCAACAATAGCTAAGCATAATTATTTACACTGTAGTCACAGAATTTCTGAGAGGAAAAAAACGCTAGGCTTTTAGGGAAGGAAAATTGTAGCAATTACTAGCCTAGTAGTTGTTTTTAAAGTAATGTTGATGTATTTGAAAGGAAGAAATTTTTTTAAACTTCTTTAAAGAGCTTGCAACACAAGCTGTAATGCTGGAATCAGTCTGCACACACTCACTTCAGGAAGCAGAGGGAGCTGTGTGATGGCAATTACAGTTCTTACTGCCAGGGAGCCAGGTCACAATTAGCAATCTGGGACTTCACATCATAGCTTGCAAAAAGACAGGTCTCATATTCTTGGGAAGACAAAAGAAGATGCATCACATTATACAATAAGATAATGCCGGTATTTAATTTATACCTACAGAATAATTACATCTACATTTGCTATGACTGAGTAAAAATTAACAACTACTCACTGATATGGGGTATTTACGGCATGGAAATGAACCTTGATTCTTTTGTAGTGGGAAAATCCCCCACACCTCTTCTTGAAAAATTGTAGACTAATAGAAGAACCATGATGTTCAAAACAGTATGAAGAAATATAGTACCCCTGAAACATAACTGAGTCAGGTACAAGTAATAGAGTTTAAAGTGCAACCAAGATAAGTGAACACAGTGAATTATTGTAGCAGCACAACTTCTGGCAAATTTAAAACAATGACTTATTAAGAGTTGTGGTTATAACAAATTAGTAAAAGTATTTTTTTTTCACAAATAGGAAATCCTGCTGTAATCAAAACAACTGTGGTTCTTTAGTTCAGCACTGTTAAACCCAGCATGTGGAGATTTCATCCTGCTGCCCAGTGAAGCTGTACTCCTCGAGATAATCAAGAGCTGTGCTAGTGTGCTTAGTGATGGCCAGTGCTGTGAGTGTGGCAGGAGACTGAATCACCTGAGAGAGACAGTCAGTAAGGGCCCTGGCTTCAGAGGGTGCTCACAGCCAGAAAATGCAACAAGGAACCACAAAAAGCCTCAAACTAATGGAAATAAAGAATTTATCTAGTGAAAAGACTGGATGTATATCCATGAGAACAAATGTCAGTCTTACCCTGCGGGCAACCTTCCCAAAAGTAAAGGAAGAAGCCTAATTGAGATTAATGGCCTTTTTGGCTGATGCCCATGGGAGGTCCTAATAAGGCAATGTGTTAAACAGTGAATGTAATTTATAATACAGGCAAACTTTAGAAAATATAAATAGCATTTGACACTGAATGAGAAATGTCTTATGCCTTTCTCACATTGCTTTTTAGAGACATTTTCACCTGTTGGATTTAAAGTAGCATTCAAGTTTCTGTTTTTGGGAAGGCCAACATACCTGCTTTATGCACCAGCATAATTTAAATTCTTAATGATGTCACACCGAGTAGAACCAGCTTACACTGTGGTCACAGATGATAGACTTCTATAATCTAAGCTAAAATAATTGTACTTACATGTCTTGATTTTGCTTGTAGTGACATTTTTTCTAGGTTTTCTTGAATGTCAAACTTAGGTTTTTTTTCCATTTCCTATCATCTGCATTGATCTTACATATTTGTGCTCACACAACACCTTTCCACAAAAAACAAGGCCATACATTTTTATACAGTAATTCCCACATCAAATCAGCAAAACTTAATTTTTTCTGATACACACTGAGAATGTAAGGCATGTACACATTCTTCTCATTTTTACCAATGCATATAAATACACTCACAAATATACATCTCAAGTATACTTATCCAACCTGAAATAATTACATTCAGGTGCGGAACAGAGTACTTATACATAGCAGAAATAACTCAAGGTCTTCAGCTTTTTCTGTTATCAACATTACTAAACAATGCTCCATTTTTCCCCAGTAGGTAGATCTATTAAAGCAGACAACCAGAACTTTTCTCAGTCTTTACCAGGTCTAAATAAAATACCCTTCTTGTATCTTACCTTTTCTTCTAACCAAAATTTTAATTTTGCTTTGTCCAAAAGTCTGATTCTTTCAAATACTCAAAGGAAACAGAAATCCTTCTGTGTTTTGCAGCCATCCTTCCTTCCATCTTTTGCTTTCAGACAGTGCTTGCATCTTCTCATCTCCTCCTCACTTAGTTGCTGTTTGAGTGAACAGTGCTCCCAATTAATGTATCATCACCCTCAGCATAACTGTCATGACTTGCAAATTATAGAACACTGCAGAAGAAATCCAGGCAGGTGTAATTCTGTTGACCACAGAGAGCTGTGCTAACTACACACAGCCTTGGTTTGGTCCTAACACTTTACTGACCAGTCTGTGAGTAAGCTGAACATTCCTTAATACTCACACCATACAAACATCCTCCATAATTTTTAGTCCTTTACTTGATGGCGTTTGTATGCTACACTAATTGACTTAATAAGTTTCTTGCATGTATTTTTCTCGTGACTAATTTGCTTCATGAAATATTTAACTTGGAAATAAAACTGTTCTTAAGAAATCTCATCCTACTTGAAGGATGTTCATCCTCCCCTAAAGCAATCAAAATAAAGTGTCCTATATACCGTTAAAATCAGTGACAGTTCTATAGATAATGCATAGAGCAGCAATTAATCAGAATATATCTACACCATGAAAAAAATAATTTTATACTTTAATGAATTCAAAATGTTCTCTTATTTTTCAATCTCTTTGGTGTAAAAAAATAAAATTATTTAATCTCCTACAAGAGAATAGTGGGTTACCCCAAACATGGTCTAGAATCCAAGATTTTAAAGCACATTTTTCATATTACACACATTACTAATGTCTCAACAATCCTGTCCAAACCGACCAAGGTTCTGTGCTGGTGGTTCTTCCTCAGTCTCTGTTGCTACAAGCTCACATTCAATCCACAATTAAAATTAAATAGTTGCCTTAATATTTGCCTTACTATTTTTAAGGCAAAGGATAATGTTGCATAGCTTTTGTCTCATATTCTTAAGGAAACAAAATATCTCACAAAAATTATGAGACAAATTAGTAATTTTTAAGATAAACTTTTATTGAAAAATTAAAACTGCATTGCATAACTTCTTTATAACTTCAACATTTCTTAAACCACAAAACAGAGATTCTGTTTAAAAAATCTCTTCATATTTGTCACCATTCAAAAAACAGATTATGAGCTAACTTCATGATGATTTTAAAATTCTGGATTATTCCCAAGGCCCCTGCTTCTGGCTCTCTGCCATGAATGGTATAATCTATCTTCTCTAAAAATTACCTTTAACAACACAATCAGAATTTTTATCATTCAAAATCACCAGCTGCTCTTGATTTTTGTCCAGTGGTCAGTCTTTTCCAAATAAATTATATCAGTTCATAAGCACTGCAGCTACCTGTTCAGCTAAGATTTTGCCTATTGTTTAATTGATCTGAATTCACCCATGCAAAGTTACAGTGATTGTCCCTGTGATTTTAAAGGTAAAATTGCTAGCTCAGAGTGTATTTTAAACCTCAGAAAAACAAAGTTGCTCACCTGGAATTAAAATGCTTTACATTAGTCAATAATCCTGTATATCCATACATTCTAATCTCTCACAGTCAATAGTATATGGATTTAAAAGAAGGAAAGTTCCAGGTCAGCATTAATCTGAGAAGCTGTGGCATATTATTCAGATGGAAATGACCTAATAAGAAAAGAGATGAGTTTTCTCAATAATGACTGTAACTGCTCTGTTAAAATCAGTTAACCAAGTCAGAAATTAATACGAGCATGGTGCCTGTTAAACACAGTATATGTGATAGGAAAACACCCCAGAGTCTGATATTAGAATCAAAAGCTTTGCAAAAATCCAATTGTGGTCATCTGTGTCAAGACACAACACTGCAGAAAAGCAAGATAAATGCAGAGGGTAGGAAGATAAATCTAAGCCCTCTATCTTTAGAGACAACACCTATGCATTAACTGTCTTGCTTCCAAAGAAAGCAGGAGGAGCTCCATTATTCCCACTTAGCTGCAAACCATCAACGGCAATAGGAAGAACCTCTGATGCTTTTAACCTTCAAAACACAATATACTTCATAAAAGGAAGAAGCAGACATTTTGGTGAGCAAAACATGATATGTGCACTGAGGAGCCCTAGATCTGTCTCTGACTCCATCCCAGAAGAGTCAGGGCCATGCTGTATGAATGCCATCAGCTGTACCACGGTCCTCCCTACAGCTTCATGGTCAGGATGAAGATGGTTCTCTTCACCTCGTTTATATGCTTCAAGGAGAACTAACATCTCAGATACATTAAACTACTATTAGAATATTGAGATGGTGATCCGGTTACACGAGGTTAAAATATGAAGATAGAGCTTTAGTAATACTGTTATTGGCAAGGGAGGTGAAGGAAATCAGAAACTCCCACCTAAGAACTGGGGAAATCATAAGAACCATGGTGTTTGTGTGGAAGACATAAAATCCTCTAGTGAAACTAAGTCACCAGTTATATGTCTTTGGATTAATTATATTCGCTCTTATTGTTTCTCATGAACAAGAAGGTCTGAAAGAATTTTTTCAATCTTCTGTAGCTGCCCTTTGAATAAAGTAAAACTGAGACCAGATTTCAGACAGAAGCCTGAAATAAAAATATGACATTGTGCTTCTTCAAAACAAACTTCTCTCTGTACTCTAAGAACAGCTCTCAATGAGAGGTCCTCTAGTTTTGATGAATAGCTGATATCTATAAAGAATGGCATTCAATATCATGGAAGTTAGTACTGAAGTCAATGTTTATGCCAACTACATCTGCACTGCAGGCCTCAGGTCATACAGCATGGATGTTTATATCAGGAAACGTCAAGTATTGAATACACAGTAATACAATAGGCTTATAAATGAGGAAGATTGAGGTTTAAGATCAAGAAGGCATGAAACCAACTACACTGTCTTGAAAAAACCTAATGAAAGAAATAGTGTATTGGTAAGATTACTAGGGGGTTTAATGATATGAAGTAACAATGCAGATCTATTTTGAGTCATACTCATAAGTCTAAAGGTCAGTGACAATTTTTATATTCAACTCAATTTGAAGAAAAGATGTTACAGAAGGTTATGAAAGAGGAATAAGCAAGAGTCCTATGAAAAGCTGGAAAGGCTGTGCTGTAGGACACAGCATTTTCCATAACTGCTTCTTCCTTCTCCCTGTGCTAACACAGCCACAAACATGAGACACCATCCTCAAAAGACAGCCAGTGGGACCTGCAGGATGGAAATCTCTCTTGCCTGTAGGTGTCCTTCCACAGGATGGACAGGGGCCAGAGAGACTGCAAAAACTGCATGGCATGACTGTATTTCACTGAAAGTTCCTAAAATAATTGAATTTTTTACTAAGGTGGAGGGGAGGGAGAAAAAGCAATTAATTACTGCTTTGCAAAGAATCATGTATGAAAACACTTGAAATTAGCATATACCATTTATCACCATGACACTAACTCAGTGAACAGAGGATTATTGAATCTCCATTTTGTTCCACTACTCTGTTTCCAGTATGGACTTTTCCACTCAGTAATATTGATTATCTAATGATTAAAATTGATCAAGCTGCAGATGAATCTGGTGTCTATACTTTGAAAAGACTAACCAGTTGAAATTATTGGGACAAGCTAGTTGTATTAAAAGATACTGAGATTACTTTTGGTTTTATTTATTTTATAAACTCCAAACAGATAGTGAATTACATTTCACTAAAAGAATGATGCTGGTTAAAACTCCCACAGAATTTAGTTAAAATGGTCACAGAGGTCAGTTCTGAAATAAAACTCAAAAACAGGGGCCTTGGTTAGCAATCAATATTCACTAGAAAAGCATTCAGAACACTGAACAGTCTGACATTACAATAAATAAAACGGAAATTTCTAATAATTCTAATAGATTAAAGGGATCCCATAATTTCATAGTCTATACACAAGGTCAGAATTCCTTATCTTCAGTAAAATTATCTGTAAGTTATTACTTTAAGGGCACTAGGATTTAAACAAAAGTGTCAACTAATATTTTCATATTTGTTCTTTGGCTCACAAAGACACTAAAATACCATAAACATTATTTAGAACTTCAATAATATATAAATAGGTTACATTACAAACGGAAGAAAATACAAGACAACTCTTCAGCATGGTAAATCTCTGCATATAAATAAGCAAATATTTCAGATACCTACAATTAAACAGTTATCTTGCTGTAAAACTATTACATTAAATCCTTTTACACAAAGTAATTTAACAATAATATACACAATCTACACAAATTAACCTCTAAAAATACAGCAATAATATACCTGTTACAATGACTCTGCTACTGTGATCCCCTGATTTGACACTAAAGGGCAAGTACAACTATTTTACTCAAAGGTGCTCTTAGAGATTGCTGTTTTGTACGTGAGAAAAGCACCAACAATAAGATCTAATACTGTTATACATTTTCTTTAGCTCCTAAGAATCTACATTTTAGAAATGTTTCTATATGTCCATTTCTGTCTGGCAGAAAAACTTGTAGCACATTATCCACATCAAAGTTGTTGAAGGAAAACTTAATTTTCTTAAAGTGGAAAACATGCTGTGGCTTTGATCTAAGTTTATAACCACTTTATATATATATATATGTATGTATATATATAATTATATATATTTATTTATACTGTACATATATACTGTGCAGAGTTCTTAATTTGCTATTTTAATACCTATTAATTTTCTGCTGTCTACAATAAACAAGACCAATGTAAGAGTCAATAGTACTTCAACTTCAAGATAATACATTTTCCCTCAATAATATGATCTACCAATACATATATATTTCAGTAGCCTATAGTTGTTTAAGGATGTCTTAGGAGATTGCAACTTACAGAAAGAGAATTTCCTTTAAACATGTTCTGCAGAACCGGGTTTAAAAAATAGCCAGTGCTGGAAAACAGTGAATTCAAGAAATAGATCATTCAAGCACTACAGCTCCTGCCCCAATCTCTCAATTTCCTCAATGAGGAAGTCAATGTCAGACTTAGTTGCTGCTGGGTTGGAGATGACCATTCGGAAGAAGTTGACTTTATCGCCCTGAGGCTGATAGCCAACCATGGTGGTACCTGACTCCATCATCAATGCCTTGATTTTTGGTGCCACCTTTATCATAAAAAAAAAAAAAAAGACAAAGAAAGAAGAAATAATTATTTTTTGCTTGTATATCACAGCATTTCTTAATTCAGAAAACATAAATTGACAGGCATTTGTTTTAATAAGAATTGTCTGTAACAAGAAAAAGCTGGAAAAACTAAATATGTAAGATTGGCTATTTAAATGAAAATTGACAACAATAATATCCATATTTTTGATTTACAAATTAATAGTATCCTAGAGTATTCGCTATGTAATAATTTTATATATTAAATATATATCTCATTTCTTTGTGCTGAAGATTTTTGTCATGATGAAACATTTTCTGCTTCTGTATGAATGTCCACTCCAGACCTTTTTGAGGGTAGTGGATGTTTTCCATGAGAATATTATGTATTCTCAAAGCATTTTGTATGTGGGGACAACAATGGAAATTTTTCAACAAGATCTATGTCATAAAGAATATTTTTTGTTAGGATAAGCCATGGAAACCTTCCAATAGTTTTGCAGTACTGTGCATTTACCACAATCTCACTCCCTTGGTTTAATTTACAAGGAATAATGTTCTGACAGTCTTAATATTTAGTATTGACTAAGCCCAGTTTTTCCATCCAGACCTTCATTCTCCTGCTCTGCTCTCTGCCAGGCAAGGTCAGATGTCTGGCTCTTTTTCTGTTTTGTAGAATGCTTTATGATGTCCTCTAGCATTTAACAGGGTTAAATAAAATATTTCATCCCTCTTGCTGTTTCTTACTCCTTACCTCTATCTTCCTCTATTCTCTCTTTTTTTGGCAATTTCTTTATCTAACATGGGACTGGCTTGACCCAGGAATTTTACCCAAGAATTTCTATTCTCTTCCATTCTCTTTCCCCATTGTGATGCAGTCATTAAATCCTCTACAAAATCTCCCAAGTTTGCTCATTCTTCTCCCTTCCTTAACACACACACACACACACACACACACACACACAGAGGAAAGAGCAATTACTGTATTTGGCTTCCCTCAAGTCCTGCATAACATATCTTTTCTGGTGGTGCTTCTATGACACCTTCACTTTCCTCTACCACTTCAAATAAATGTATCCCAAAGTCCTCCAAAGGGTATTCATTTTCACTGAAATGCATTAACGCATTGGCATTTAAAATCAAAATAAGTACCTGAGAAGGAACTTACAGGTTTTCATGTCCTTTACCTGTCCAAGTATTTTCAAACAATTACCCTTCTGTTCCTCTTGTCAATAAGCTGTCCTATCCAAAGACCCTGATGTCTGTAGGCCTAGCTACTTTTTGAAGGCTTGTAACACTTGTGAGCACAGGATAACTGAATATGTTCTGAATCTGCTTCTATAGGGAAAACATTACTTGAGCATCAATACAAATAAAAGACAAAAGTGAACAAATATCAAGGTCATAACAAGCAATGGAGAACTGATGTCTCAGAATTTAGAATTATCTTTTTACATTTGACCAAAAATACTTACCCTGTGTAATTTTTCTCTTCTCTCATCAGAGTCTGGCATGCCCCTGAGACTTGGAGGAATATACCAAAAACATACATTTGTATGCTCTGGCTAGAAAAAGAACCAAGCATATGCATCAATTAAAAAAATTATACAGATCAGTCCCCCACTAAAGGCTAGTCAGTAGCATATTTTATCACAGACATGAAAGACAAAATACAGTATTAACTTTCCTAGTCCTGCATGTTAAACAGACAGAAATAGATTACAGTACTGCTGCTTGCCTCTGCCGCCTTAGACTCCCTATACATTGTCCCATTTGCAATATTTAGGTTGCTAATGAAGTGCAAATGCTTTTCACCCTTGTGCAGTTCCATAAGTAACAGTTTTTCAGGATCACAGCAAGGGCAACCCAATTTTGCTTTCCTTAGCAAAGAGGGAAATGAAATTTATACTATGATCCAAAGGTTTATGTACTGGCACTTGCAAAAGAATATACAGTAAAAACAGCAGATTCTCAGTTGTGTACTAATAATCTCAGTATGAGTAGGTAGTATTAAGGTAATCTTCATGCCCTAAACTGAGTAGGCCTCTGCAGAAGAGGAGGAGATAAACCTGACATTTATAGTACAAAACCACATGTATTTGACAAAAAAATCTGCCCAGATCCTAATAGTCATGTAGTTCTTTAGCAAATCAGAGCAGTTATGCATAGCTGTCTTGAAGAACTGTGAGAAGCATGAAGACAGATTTGGCTCATACATATGTGAAAACAACTTACCTGCCCTTCAAAAACCATCTCAAATTCTTCTCTGTTTTTGATTTTGGTGTAGAGATATTCTGCCAGCTCCAGGCATTTATTGATCTGATTTTCAAATCCTACTGTACCCTATTTTAATAAGAAAGTAGGTATTCATTATATGGTCATTTTTTTTCCTGCTCTAATGCAATCACCTTTTCAGATAGGTTTCACTCTTAAATATTTTCAGGCAGAACACATTTATCAGTATTAATTCTTTTAACTTAAAAATAGTGTTAATCAATGGTAAAAAAGTGGCTAACGGTGGCCCAATTGTAAGTCACTATTTGGTTTGCCTCATTTTAAGAGAATTTATGATGAAAATAACAAGGACTTTCACTATTTTTAGTAGATTATTTTAGGCCTTTTATATTTTTCAGGTTTCCAAAAATATTATGGATATTATGACCTGGCTTCACAGCTGCTGCTGAAAGACCAGAAACTTGGAATGGGAACCCAGTTGAAAGTGTAAGAATTAGGAAGTAAAATATTTCCTCTGAACAGTTTGCTAGAAATGTGCATTTAATCAGCAAGCAAAAGTCTGCAATATATTTACTAGGAGTCACTTGCCTACCCACTGATATCTTATCAAGGTCATAATCCCAGAAAAATATATAAATACTGATAATAAATAGTTGGGGCTTTTTTTTAATACACTTTGTACATGAATGAAGAACAAGCATTTTCTCCCAAAGTAAAAATTGGTTTATGATTTTAGAGTTTATCATTAGATTTAATATCAGTTATATTTTTTAAATTAGACTCTGGACAGGTCACCCAACTGAATTCCCATTTTGCCAGCAGAAGATCAAGAATAACAGTAATGAGATGACTACAGATAAAGCAATAAAAATTGAATGTGTTTTCTTGACTACATGAGCCCTCATCTTGTGAGCATGCAAGCCTGGACAAAAGCCCATGCTTAAATTCAGCCATCCAGGCACACCACAGTAGTACCAGGTAATCATCTGTGGAATCGTCACTTGGGCAACGCTTCCTCAGAAAAAGGCTTTGTTTTAAGTTAAAAAGTTGCTTATAAAATCCATGCATTGAAATGTCATGTTCAAAGGTCCCTTGTAAGTCATCAAGGCTGCTCTGCTGTTACAAGTAATCTGTGACAAAACACGTATCCAAGCGTAGAACATCACAAGATATCATTTTGGTGCCCTGCACTCAGTGGCTTTTCTGCAGGACTCATCTAGCGACTTAAATCTTTCTTCTAATTGCCAGCTAAATTTACTGACAGCTAGCATTGTTCCACAATTCAGATAGTTCCTTTCTGAGTCAATACTTGGATATTTGTGTGTTTAGAGATGGTAATGACACAAGCATTTATGTTAAAATGAAGTATTCCATTACATGACACTTAGAAATTAAATAAGTGCATTTCTGGTTTTTGAGCTAAGCTTTTGTTATTTACCTTTGCTTTCCACATCAACCAGAATTTGAAAATGTCTACATGTCGACCACACTGTATTGCCTTATCTCCAGTGTCATAGGAGACGTCATACTGTTTGTCTGGCTGGAAGAGATAGCCTGCACACATTTGATTGCAGCCTTGAAGAATACCCTACAACAAAAAACATGTATGCTTATATGACTTACCTGGCATTTGTGCATGAGAGAATGTACACATTAATAATGTATAAAAATGTATTTCAAACGTGTACAGGAGGATTGTTCTTTGATGGGACATATTATAACATACTGACCTTGTTTTGCAAACCTGAGACACAAAATTAATTTCATTAACCTAAGGTGGTTCTCTTAGAAGTCTCTGAGTAGCCATATGATTTTACACACACAAACACCCCGCTGAGAAAACATTCACAGATTAATTTGGATACTTAGTTTGTGATATTAGCTTTACCCACTTCAATTTGTAAGGCTATGTTCTTTAAACTTAAATTTATAATTTGTTAAATTACACATGAGAATAAAGCTGCGGTCTCTCAGTGCAACAGATTGCTACACAAAAAGGAGCTGAAAAACTTAATTGAAGGTTTAAACTTTGTATGTTGTTCAGCTTTATGATACTTAACATTAGTGATAAGTATAAGCACAAATGACATAGACTGGACATTTTTTGCATATAAATAAATATGGTTCACAGAATAACAGAAATCTAGGGAATACTGGTAAAAACGCCTGGTGGAAACACCGAGCAGCAAATTCCTGTACGTTACACAGAGATCTTACATGTGACATTTCTAAAATGGTTTGCATTTCCTTTAGAGTTTATAACTGTTTTTTGCAAGAAACTTGAAGACACCAGTGTGTCTCATAAATACAAAAACACCTATCAAAGTTCTCATATAGAGAACAAAAACTCTAGCCAAAATCCTGCAATAGCTGGCACATGCATGCATGCCACTAAACAAAGGCTCGTGCTTCCCTCTGACAGATGTGTTTTATGAAGGGAAACTAATGCTGCACTCCTCAGTTTAGAGATGGATTGGTTGGAAGAGCAATGGCAGACCTAGGGCTGCAACTTCCAACTCTCCATCCCAGTTCTATACACAGGGATTACTTCTTCAACTAAGTGCATCTAGTAGCAATTGGCATACAAGAGGTCAGTAGACAACATCATTAGTCCTACCCACATATGATACCACACATGATATGATTTCTTTTATTATCATTTAATAAAAATATGTATTTCTTAAAAGATACAGGACACAAGGTTTTCCTTTAATTCATGGCAACTAAGAATCTAGATGCTAGTCCTCAAAGAGTCATAATAAGACCAGCATGTTTCCTTTTCAACAGAACTGGGAAACTTCTAAACCACTACATAAGGTAAAAACTTGCTTCTTACTTAAGCAGTTTAGACTGTGACCAAGTACTAAGACTGAGGCCCTATGTTCCATATATCATAGAAACAATGGGGCAGGTGCTCAGATGAAGTACGTTAGCATGTCTCTATTGTTGCTATCATAATATGCAAAGATCCAACAGGTGAGGATCTGACCCATGCTGTCTACAACTTTAATTAAAAAAAGCCAAACCCCACAGGACAGATAAAACAACTTCCAAAACGCAGTGTAAATCCACACAATTATTCCTTCCAAAAGAAGTTTTTAAATTAAACAAATTTTGCAGTACCCTCTTTAAAAGTAGGGCTTGATATTTACTTTTGTTTTCTTTGTAATGTTTAATTATTAAATATAAGGCAGACCTTCTCCCGGACAAGAATGGCAGAACATTGTAACAACACTCCCATCATCTTGTGTGGATTCCAAGTGACTGAGTTGGCTCTGCAAAAAAATTACACATTCAGATAGGTCTGGTAAACAGAAACTTAATCTGAAGCAGTCACCTTTGTTTTCTGCTTTCAGCTGGAAATATATGGAGTTTTGACCATGATGATATCACTATGGGTATTATTGCTGTCTTAAATGTCTTCTTTCCCAGCTATGCTGTCCAGGCAAGGAAATTTTTTTCATGCTAGCATTGCAATGTCAGACTTGTGATTATTTTATATTATTACTAATATCAGCTAATTAGTATCACACTGATTAGCTGATACAGTAATATCATCCCCAGAAGAGTTCTCTTCTAGAAATAGCACTAATAAAAATAACAAAACCACTGTGATATGTTCTATCGATTCAAGGTACTGATGGGGAATGTGGGGATGTCAGACAATTAAGGGACTAATATGAATTGTGGGAGAATACAGTTCTTTACTGAACAGCTGCTGGAAAAATAGAAAGGAAATAAAAAGATGTTCTGCATGCTTCCCTGCTTTCCCAGTTAGAGCCACAGCCCTTGCTTGTCAAGCCCAGGGACTGTTAAAAGGCTCTGTACATCTTATCCTACCATTCTCTATGTAAAGCTTAAAATTTCTTACATGTAAACACAATTCAATGCACAAGATCACCTAATTTACATGTCAAACAGATGTTCTGTATTTTAACATACTCTCCTCGACAGTTTAATGGTGACACTGAAATAAATGTGCCAACGTTGCACATCCATTGACCTTTTCACCCCAAGTAATTAATTACCAAGCGTCCCCTTGATTCACTGCATGTTCCAGAGAAGCAAAGTGCATAATTGTATTTCACAGACTGTGCATGTGTTTTCACAATGTGGTTGAAAGAAAATTAAAAGGTATTTCCTTCTCTACACCCTGCTCTCAGAGTATACAGACACAACCACAGGTTTGCTGTTTTGAGCAACACAGTGATGTCTTCACCCCAGTCTGGGGAGCACTGATTTCTAGATACAATTCCAATCCCTGTAGGTGCTGGGTTAGACTGCAGCACCCTCAGCTGAAAGAACAGTTCAGCCTGTGCTGTACCTGGGGAGCTCACCATTCATCTAACATTGGCTGCTTATGCAATGCAAACCAGCAGATAAATAGCTCAAACTTATCTTTTAGAAAAACTTCACTAATAGTTCAGATGAAGCACTCAGGAAAAAGTAATTTACATAACAACTTATTTCCTTTTGAAAGCACCACGCCTTCAGTTTAGCACAATCATTCAACTTTCAGGGTTTCAAACAAAGACAGTTTCAAGTCATTCCTCACAAGGAGCATTAGGTTTATTTTGACATGAAGCTGTCACTCTCTCCTCAGTGCAGCCCCAGCCAGAGGCTGTCCTACCACAGGCAACCCCAGCTCTGTGCCATGGCAGCATGCCAGTCCTCCATGCCAGTGTGTCCAAGCAGGCCAAGAACAACCTGTGTTATCAACAGACCCCAGCTGGGCCCGTGACAGGCCATTACCCCGTACACGTGGGCCCCATCCCATGTTTGAAATCTGTATAGCTGACTGGGAAAGAAATAATTTCACGCTTCATGGCCTGCTGCTTTCTGTATTTGCTTAAAATTATGGCCTTAATTAGCACCTCAGGGTTGACCTCAGGTCAAAAGGGGTGTGCCAAACTCCTGTGACCAAACCTCTGTATCTTAAGAAAATTGTTTTGCTATGCTGACTTATGTCAACTCATGTTGCCATGAGTCACAAGTAAATTGGACTGGGCAAAGGTTGATAGGATTCTCCTGCTTCAGAGTACTCCACACCACATGCTGCTGCCCTTGTGACACAAAGGTCCCCATGGTTTTGCTGCCAGTCCTTCCATACACTATCCTTGGTGTTGTACTTATTCTTCACTTACTGTATGAGGTGCCCAAACCTAGGATAGTTTGTTTTCCCTAAGGAAGAGCATTGCTCACTGTACTCATTTTACAATTTTACATGGTGCCCATACTCAGAATGGCCAAGTCAAGGAAGCAATTTGGTGCTAATTTAAGAGTACATGGATAGAACTTGCTTCAAATATTTTTTTGCTTCCCTGAAGGCTAATACCTGCAATGACGGAAAAGATCTAAGGTTTGTGATTCTTCCTTGCTTTTCTGATTTTTCTCAGACGGGCACCATTTTATGGTAGAGTGCTTTCAGAGGAAATCTAGAGATAACACACCCATGGGATTATAAATATAGCATCTTCTACAGACTTGTCATCATTGGATATGGCTACAACTGTGCCAAAGACCACGCCTGGAATGACTCCTGAGTCAACATTGTAAGAACCAGTGGGAGGGTCACATTCTCACTCTGCTGTCACTACCAACACAAATATTTTGCCTCTTTAAATTTGATTCAATCAAAGGCTGGCTTCCGGTCTCAGTGAGCATCTTGGCAAGCTGGGTTATGTACCTGGGGGTACACACATGCTCTTTTCTGCAGACTTCACTCTGACCTCAACAACAACTTCCTGCTTGATTCATGTAATCCCCACATAGCACCAGCACACAGGCCCCTGTGCCCTGAGACAGGTGACATCCTTTATGGCCTCTCTGTAAATGACCTCAGTCTTCTCCCTGGTACAGCAGAAGTGTAGCAGCTCTGTCTATCATAGTCCTTTCAAGCCTTAAAGGTACTGAAACTTGCCCCTGAAAATTGCTGCTAATTCAGTCTCTGACTCCTCTCATTGTTGTATAAACCCATATATTTGTGTGTGTGTATGAATAAATAAAAGTGATATAAGACTAAGCATATGTATGTGTTCCATTTATAGAACACTCATGAACATACACTCTTCATTTTCCAGAAAACCTGCAAACATCTTTCAGGAGAGAACCTCTACAAATTCCCAGTGTGGGTATTCATGCTCAAACACCTTTCCTGGATCCCTCATTTATCACTGGTATTCTCAAAGCCCTACATTTCAGAGATTGTCTAGCTCTCACACTTTATTTTTTACTTCAAATACTTCTCCATCCATTCCCAGACTTATGATCCCTTCAAAGCTATGCCTAGAACAATCTCCCTTCCCTTTTGCCAAGTAATATCCTTGTCTTCCTTCAAGTCTGCTGAAAACGTATCTCTCACTCAATGGTACATTGCACATTTCTCCTGTAGTATTGTTTGCATCTCCCCAGTCTGAACCTTTCCCTTTTGCCTCGCCATTGCTTAATTTAGTGTTTGAACTCCTCACCGTAGCAAAGTAATATTTTCACAAATTGTTAAAGTGTCATGTACCTTATGAAAGTACTTTAAGAACAGTGTTACAAAGAAGCACTGTGTAGTACCTTTCTATTCCATTCAATTTGTGACGGTGCTTTCGGGACATTAAGAGTCCACCCCCCCAGGCAGCCTGCAAAAGACAGAAAAAAAGAGAAAACTTATTTTTTTGAAAAAGCTCAACAGATTTTAGTTTACTCAGGGTCTAGTAATAAATATTTTAATTCAAGGAAAAAATGTGTAAACTAAGATCCTCTTTTGCCTGACTAGCAGCACGTTTTTGTTACTTACATCTACATGGAGCCAGAGGTTGTATTTCTCACATATATCTGCAATCTCCTGTATTGGATCAAAGGCTCCATATACTGTTGTGCCTGCAGTTGCGTTTACAAAAAGAGGAACATATCCCTACAAAAAAAAAAGGGTCAAATATAAATTGAAAACACATTTACAAAAAAAAAAAAAAAAGAAAAAAAAAAAAAAAAAAAAAAAAAAAGGAAAATAATTCTGGAAATATTATCTCATTTTGTAACCTAAAAACGTTTTTCTTCCCATGTGGAAAGCACAAACATAAGCAACAGTAGAAACAACTAATCATATACATGGTAAGAACAAACTGGTTTTTTCTTTATTTTCTTGAAACTTCACAAAAATAACTAGTTAGAAGATAAACAATATTATTTTGTCTAATCTCTTTCAGTGAGGCGATTCAAACAATGTAGTGGAAGATGAGCAATATTCAAGTAAATTTGGGACTTTTACAGCAGTAAAAACAAAAATTAATTAAATATGGTTTGTAAGTCATGATTTGAAGGCTTGAAATTGTTCCTTTAGTATTTATCTACTAATAAACAGAACAAAGCAGAACAAAGTAATCTAAAACAAAAGCAATATATGAGAAACTATCAGATCAAAGAGAGACAATTTTGAATTAGATGAAATAAATGCGAACTGCTATTTCATAGAGTTCCCAAATGCAAAGAAGTTAAGAAAGAAAAAAATAAATAAATCTTGATCTCTCTTTGGTTATTTCATTAAAAATTCATGGGTTTTTTCCACTGCATTGCTTCAAGAAATAGCAATTAATACCTAAAATTTAATCTTACTGTCTATATTTAAAAAATATACATGCTACCTACATGAAATCTATAGGATTTTTAGGGGCTCTGTAGAATCTTTTATGGGTTTGGGTAAACTTAAAAGTTTAGATAAAAGATTTTATGTTTCCATGCTTGTTTCCATATATTTCCAAACAGTCTTTTAGTTTTAAACAGAAAATGGAAACCTTACCAAGACATATGGATAATTCTGTAAACAAGACATGAATGAATAATTAAGCATATAAAAATACTGCTATTATATTTATATCATTATAATGTTCTCTTTTATGTCAACACTCTGGCTTCAAAGGAAGAAGCAATTTTACTAAGCCAAGCGTTTAAGCACTAATGTTTAAAAACACAAACCTTTTCTTTTGCTTCCAGAATTTTTGCCTCCAAATCAGCTGGTATTATTTTGCCTCTGTAATTATCACAGAAACAGGAAGACAAAGAAAGTTAAAGAATGTAAATAATAGCTGCAGTTGAAATAATTTAATAGGATTTTCTCAACAGGCCATTAGCAACTTGACACACTGTACTGAATCAGTCCTTAAACACAATAGAACAAATTTAACAGATGAACACATTTAATCTATCAAAACTTTAGTATTCATCCTACCTTTCATTGCATTTTATCAAAACAACATTGTCTGTTCCAAATCCAAGTGCAGCTCCAGCCTTCTTTATTGAGTAGTGACTCTGCAGCAAATGAACATGAAATGGAGTGGTTGTTTAATGGCAAAGCATTTTCACAACATGTCAGTAAACTAAGAATTAGCAGTGTGTTAAACTCACATGCTCTGAAGTAAAGAGAACCAGTTTAGGGACTGCAGCCATGCCTTTGGTTTTAACTTCAGGGAAATACTTGTAGCGTGCAGCCATTATGCTGTACATGTTGGAGATCGCGCCACCTGTGAATGAACAAATAAATGAATAATAAAATAGTGATAATGAAAACAAAAAGCATATTATACCACAGACACTTGTGTCTCATTTGCATAATGCAGTGAAAGTGGCAGTGAACTATGAAAAAGCATTTCTCTGAAATGCACTGGCATCTGTCTAAATAGCACAGGACAGACTCTCAAGAAAGCCAGAGTGATAATCAGAATTTCGTAAATGCCATCTCTTTCAATTGCTACCATTTTGTAACACATTCCTAAGAAGTTCAGCTTTTCTTGTGCTGCTTTTACATGAACTTCTTGTTAGCAAGAACAACAGGAACTTATTAACTTGTCTGAGATTGAAGAAATGTCACATATTGGGTGGATTCATCCCACCTTACTGTAGACATAGAAGTAGATGCTTAAATGCAGATTTCTACAGCTGAGCTACTTTGTCTAAACTCTCTCAGAGCCATTTATGGGAAAGAGGCACATCACAGGTTATGATTCACCTAATTTATTTTCATATATTTAATTTTGAAGAATTTGAATACAGGGAAAGCACCTATTTCTCTTGGTTTGCTGCTAAAAAGAGCCCTGAACCATTAGCTCAGTTCTTTGGTGCAGACCTCAAGCTTTAATAAGATCAATCTCACCCCTAAGCCTAGGAGGACTTATTCCTCTGAAATTTTGTTGAGAACACAGAAAGATCTGTATTTTTCTAGCAGATAGGACTGGAGTGTGCACTTTGTGTGGGCTGTTCCAAAAGGAGGTGGTTTTGTCCTTTATGCTCTGTGACACGATGTTCCCTCATGCCAAACCCGGAAAAGTCACGCTGGGCACCCACATTGTCCACACGTTGGCCCAGGACCTCCACACATTTCAGCACCAGTCGTTTCTGTCACTGCTCACTGCCGTTATGTTCCTTGCATGGGAGGACACATTGTCTTGCTCTCTATTCTGGAGTCATACTTGTGAATCCAATCAGATTATATCCCAGATAACGAGTCCCAGAAAGCGACAGACAATCACCTGACTGCGAGTCCAAATCCTCGCTGACCACCAAAGAAAGCATGATTTTTGAGAGCTTCTAGTCAAAAGGAGCTGTGGTTGCTCAGCACCACCAGAAGCTCATAAAAGGGGTGTTTAAATGCCTAACTGTGTACTGTAGTCAAGTTTTAAATGCCATAGTACATAGCCATACACAAAGATAATTTTTTGCCCCAACTATTCTGTGGGATGTTTAAACAAAGCATTCCTACTTCTAAATATCTGACACATTGCTTTGTGTTGGAGATAGTGTGACTATTCAGACATGGCCTATGTTTATTTTAACTTTTGAAGTTTTAATCAAACCACTAGAACAGAGAAGAAAACTCACCAGGTGAGAATATTCCATCACCATCTTTGTTTGACCATCCAATAATCTCCCTCATCTTTCGAAGTGTTATTTGTTCCATGAGGACAAAAACAGGAGCAATTTCATAGGTAAACCTGCATGGATAAAACAAAAATACTAAATAAGCACAATACAGATACAGATTCTAAAAACACATTATAAATTCCCAGACTGTGATTCTTTGTTAAAATGTTTTCTAAAAGTTTTCCTGTAACTTGAGGTCCTGATCCTGAAACTTTACCCAAGCAAAAATCCTATTAGAAGGATTAGAAGACAATATTAGATGTACTGATGAATAAAAACTGCAGTATTAGATATTTTGCAGCTTTCTATATGGTGAATGTAAGACCTAACATTGAACATCATAGCACTGCTGACTTCTGTACAAGGTTGTCCTTTAAAACAACTCTTTCCCAAAGTGCCAATTCCACACTTGTGGAATAACATACTGCTAAATCCTTATGAAAACAGTGAACTTCACTGAGCTAAACAAAACCATAATTAGAAGTATTGAGCCAGGGTTTCAAAGTCTAAATATAATTAATTATGTGGATTTATTCTGTTGATGATCTCCAAGGACAACTTACTTCTACAATACAATGTGATCAATAACTGTCAAGAGTAATTACAAATGATGATTTTCTAATTACCAGTTACCAAAACCAAGTCAGCAGTCAACTATTGTATCCATTTAATGAGGGCAAAAAACATTACATATCCTGGCATGCCCTGATGTCAGAGTCAGATATGTGGATGGAAATTGACAACCATACAACTATTTTTGTGATCAAGGTAGATGGACAAATTACTACTGCTGTGAACAAATTCTGCTTGCTGTGTGTGGGGAAAAAATAAGAGAGGGGGGGAAAGGAAGCAGAGAGAAATGAAGAAATCAGCCTCTGATTGTCAAAGGAATCTATGAGAGTGACACCCTGACACTTCGGATTTGACTGATATTCTCCACTTGAATAATTTTGTCAAAACGTATGTGTTGTCTCTCTAACACTAAAATGATATTTTGAGAATAGGGACAGCAAACTTGAATGAGACATGACATTAAGAAGGGAACAAGTGTCTGAAAGAGCTTATCTTTTATTTACCGCTACACTGGTTGCTTCCACTGTTAATATTCTCTTCAATTTTTATGTGTCCTTAGTCCATCAGAGAAACACCACCATTATTTTTTAAATATTCTCTTAATATTAAAGGTTTCAAATTTGTTTAATTATTGTGATTGCTATTTTTCATAAGTCAAAATAATACTTGTTTTTATCATCATTAGAACTGGCAGAGACAGTTCTATACTGATCTGAAGTTTGGGTGCTGCCACTATTTACAAATGAACAAAATTAATAAACCAGTGTCTGCTAACAGTGGTTTGGGGTTGTTTTGTTTTTAAGCACTGCAAGTCTAGAATATATTCCAATTTTTATTTAGGCAGAATGATCAACTGATGTCCACAGCAACTCAGCAGTCTATAGATCACTGTAGCTCAATACAAGCTACTCTTAAGTCAATGTGGTTATTTTTTTCCCCACCAGTTCAAACACATTTTGGGTTTTGTCCTAAGACCTGGCACACTGAATTTTGAATATATTTAAACACAAAGAAAATACTACTTATTTATTCTATTCTGTAGTTATTTTCTGAGTCTCCAAGAACTGACAGGAAATAAATGACAGTAGATGTTTATAAATTATAAGGCAAATGAAGCTACATTAGATGATGGCTATGAATTTACAAATCACGTCTTGTTGAAGTTCATTCCACCTTACTTGTTTTAAACTTAAATTATTTTGAAAAAAATCCATAAAACTCAAAACATGGGTTTGGCTTAAAAGGAACCATCAATCTCTAGAATCAATCTCCTAAAAAATGCTGATTGGGTTTTCCTATAGTTACAACACTTACAGGTATTTCTGTGAATTAACTATCGCAGTTATGAGTATCAGCTCTTTACTAACAGAATGTACTAACTGGTTTTTTGGTAGAAGCCAGTGCTGGCTTAATTCTGCTCTCACATGAAGGACAAATCACTTTATCAGGCCAAATCATTCTAGCTACCGTTCTCTTGTTGGCCAGTATGTAAAAAGCAGTCTGAGAATAAGCACAGAACATTTTACATCCATTTTCTATTCATAAGCATATCTGCACAATACTGAAAACACCAATATATTCCCTTGTCTCAGCTAGCAGCAGGCATAAACAAAACTTCCAGATAATATTTATTTTTAACCTCAGTTGACTGCTGCATGGTGACAGAGTTCCCTGTGCTACAGAACTGGATGAATAATGAAATTCTGAAATTTCCCTGCTGAAGGTCTCATGATTAGAGATTGAGCTATGAATAGCACATTGACACATTATTTCCAAGTCAATGGGGAAAGGTTATTATGTTTATTTTTATATATTATCTTCACAGTGACACTTAAGTAATATTTCCTAATGTTAATTTAAAATTTTTAGGCAGTGCAGATGTTTAGATTACTCAAAATTCATCTGCAAAAGAAAACACATACTTTTAATTGTTCATAAATATTGTAAGTATTGTTTATCTGTAGAAAAGAAAAAATGGCATATGAAAAACATTCCCTACTATAATTCAATGTTACTGTTGCTTTTGTATTATGTGTTCATGTAGCTGTAATAGGTTGGAACAGTTTCTAGGTAAAGGTTAAAACCTGTTCTGGTGTGCTGGAACACTGCTCAAAACAAATACTCCCCAGAGCTCACAGAGGTGATTTGGTTATTTTTAATAACTTTCTCTGTCAGTTCCTTGAATCATATTTTACAAACATCTTGCTTTAACTTTATTTGCAATTACTGTGCTACTTGAAAGCACACCGTGTTGGTTTTCTGAAAAAAAGGGCACACTGAGCCTCATGCTAACAAATAGCATGTTAAACTTCATGTTTACAGAGAAGTATTTTCAATATACGTTTTTTTTAAAGCACAAATAGTTGAGAAACTAGCTATTTAACAGCTTACTTTCAAAAAAAAAGGAAAACATCAATTAAAAAGTTACTCTTTAAGAAGTGACTAAATGAGTGCAATGTTATTAATAATGATGTCAATACTTCTTTATCCTGTCACAGTCTGCCACAGAGCTGAATTCTTTTATGTCTTATCAGATTTGTGTAATTTCACTGATTACAAAAGGATAGCTAAACTGGGATAACTAAGTTAGCCAAATGGGCTTGGAAAAAGTGACACTGAAATATTGGTCACAGAGAAACAGCCTTTAAGCAAAGTTTTTTTAGAATTGTGATCAGAACTGTTTTCACTTTTAATTGTGCTGCTAAAAAGGCACCTCAAAGCTCTTTAAAGCTTTTATAATACTTGTTTCATAATTAAAATATATTTTGCTGGGTTTTCTTCCCAATCAGCTTTAAATCTGAATGTCTCATACCAATTTTCAGCAAACAGAACTAACTGAGATGATTATTATAAAGAGAAGGCTGGCTTTGGCTCGAGCACCTTAGGTTTTTATTTTACTGTTAATGTCACAAAACAGGCACAGCTCTAATATACACAGAGCTGCCAGTCATCAGGTATATTTAATGAACCATATACTCACAGATGGCCAGTGAAAATATTGTTCATTTTCCAATCTGAAAATCTGATTTCGTATGTTATGACAATTAGCAACAAACTCCCCAAAGCAGAGGTCCCCTTACAGTTAAAACACATTCAGGACTAAAAGAGAGCAATCTTACCTGCTGAATATGTGGACTCTCTTCACGTTTTTGACATATAGAAATCAAAATATAAATAAAAACTGACTAGAAGGTTGGGTGGGTTTTTAGCAGTTTGCAAGGTTTTTTTGGTTGGTTTGGGGTTGGGGTTTTTTGGTTTTTTTTGTGGATGCTTTTGTTTAGTGTTATTTTTGGGGGGGTTTTTTTCATGAATTTTACTCTACTACAAAAATTCATTATAATACCTTACAATGACATTTAGCTTTCATTAACTTTGAGGTCAAGAAAAATTAGGAAAATTTTCTTATTTGATGCATTCAGATGTCAAATTTTACTTTTTTTATACTTACCTTTATTTATTTACACATGACTTTATTAATCTTAGACTAATTCCTTTGTTAGCATAAAACTATTTTTCAGTGTTACATTTTTAATAACTGAAGCTACCCAAAAGCCACTTCTTTACTAGCACATGAACAAAAGGTATTGCCTCAAGCCTGTTATCTCTGAAGTCAACAGTAGAGAAGAAAATACATTTTTCCACATCTTGTGTTCTAGTGTTAACAAGTGGATAGCTGCAGACCTGTTCAGTCTAGAGACAAAGCTTTTTTTTTTTTTTAAATATAGAGAATATTGGTCCAAAAGAAGAAAAGTAATTTCATGTTATTATGTTAGAATAATCATGTTTTACTTACCATGTGCTCTCAGATATTTGCATTTCTATTTATAAGAAACCTAAAACTTTTCAGTTTTATGTAATTATTTTCATTGTATTACTGACACATTAAGAAAAACATGAGACATTTTTCTGGAAGATGTAACATTCATCATTTAAAAATGAAAATTATTCATCAGTGACAATACCTATCTACCATGATACATGGCAGCCCGTGTAAGCACCAGTCCCAGACTCTAGTGACAAGATGCTTACATGTTTGTGTTAGCAGTAGATGTCAGCCACTCCCCAGCCAAGCCAATAATGTCCAGTCCTGTGGACAGCTGATTGAAAAAGCGAGGGTGACCTGAAAAAAGAATTGAGACAAACTTAGAACAAACTCTACCGGTATCTCTCAGGTTTCAGAATTAAACCATCCACCTTTTCTGACACAAAGCACAGGTTTGTACTCAAAATACCTGCAGCAAAGTTTTCAAAGCAAGTCCTGCTTATGGGGAGACGGATGTCTTATTACAAACTTGAAAAAATGCTTCGGATGGGAGCTCTGTATGGAATCATTTGCCTTTAAAAGAGAACCTCAGAATCGACTGAGCCTGTAAACACCTCCGGGACCTGCCCAAGGGCCATTTCCAGGGCCCTCTTCTGACTTCTGCCGGGCTGTGAGCTCGGGAGAGGAGTACAGGCTGGGGAACACCCCCTCGGCAGTAACAACCTCCAGGTGCCGGGGCTATTTCCATTCGAATCGAGGAACAGAGGGAGGCTCAGGCACTTGAACTGGGGCTGCAAGAGTGAGACGGGGCTACGGAGGAGCCAGTCTCTTCCCGAGCTACAAGGACACGGGAGAGACGTTTTGCGGGGTCTCGGCAGGAATGTCCCAGCTCTGCAGAGGGGACAGAGCCCCCCAAGAGCTCCTCGACCTGGGCCCTTTCCCCACACGGTTTATAAGCGAGAATTCACCTCCTTAAACAGAGTTTGCTATTGAACGGAAGTAAAGCACATCCCTGTATTTCAGCCCAAGTTGCTTTAACTACTTTCATAAGCAATAATCCGGAGTATTGGGGACCTACTTTTCCAGCATGAAGAGAGGAAATTCCTAACAACTGGTATCGGGCGCTGAGGGGAGGTGGGAGGTGTCATGATTTAGACCTCTCTGCTCTCTGGAGAAGGACACGCAGACAGCACACTGGGGACAGCCCGGCCCTAGAGGAGAGGTCAGCTCTCGACGCCTGGAGGGGACCCTGTCACGTCGGATTCGGTTCAACACTAGGAACATCAGCATCTTTTGACATGAAGAAATAAATGCGATTCTGCCCCGAGCGATGTCAGCAGAAATCTTTTGGAGGCGTGAGCCTGCCGGCGCTGCCACATCGCGACACTTCGTGAAGAGGATACGCCGCACCCGGGCTGCTCCCGCCCGAGGAACCCACGGCTCGGGGCTAGAGCCCAGAAATACCACCGTGGTTAGCTGTTTGCTTTACAAATCAGCACTTCTCTCCCTTTCCAGGGCACACTGACTGGCAAGTTATCTTCAGCGACATCTCGCTGACCTGCCATAGCTGTTAACGAGCCTGCGATCTCCTAAGGCTGGGCTGCAGATTCAGACCCGGTGACTTTGAAGGGAGCTTGAGAGAGAATGCGAGCCCCAGGAGCCCACAGCAGAATGCGTGTCCTGGGCAGTCAGGCGATCCGAGCAGCACTTTAAAGCTGCACCAGACACCGCTCTGAACAGAGCTTGTGTCCGGTCGGATACCTGCCTGGGGACACGTCCTGCTGGCCCCACAGAAGCTCCAGGGGAGGTCGGGGTGAGGGGAGGAGGCTGCACGACTTGGGCACAATGAATAGAGGAATAATGGTGCAAGCATACAGAGCGAAGGTACTCTGACTTAACCTCAGGCCACCTGTCCAACAACCCACACGTTTGGGAGTGAAACACTCTCCCTATTGATTAAGAGTACAAAAATCAAAGTATGCTCCTGACTCCACTGAATCGATAAAACCACCATGTAAATAGGAAAAAGGGCAGAACGCTACCCGCCACATCTGTTGTCAAGATTTTGCTCCTTGAATGCACTGCACTGGGTCTTCACGGCTACAAAACTAGCCACCGCAGAAAGCTGCGGCCCGTCCTTCAGGAGCCCCGGCCCGCAGCTGCCCAGCCGGAGCCCGCCGGGAAACAGCCTCCCGGCCTGAGCTCCGCCGCTCCGGCTCCGCGGGGAGATTGCCGCCCGCTGCGGCCGAGCCGAGCCGAGCCGTGCCGAAGAGGGCAGCCGGCCAGGCAGAGCTCAGCAGCCCTGAAACGCTGGAGCAAGGCTGGAGACAGGAAACTCGGCACGCTCCATTACCGCTCCAGTTCCTGACCGGCTTGGGTACGTACAGCAGTCAGGGCTAGTTGCCAGCCAAGATTCTTGTGGATCCTATATAAAACATTTCAGGCCAAATAGCCTGAAAGAGCATTGACTTTGCTCTAGAGCCTACCTACAGCTGACCCAGTAAAAGAAGTGATTACAAACTGGGATTTCTGTCTCATTCAGAAGGACCCGGACAGGCAGGGCACCTGGGTAATGGGCTGAAATCCACAGGGTTCCTTTATTGATTCCTAGGATTTTAGTCTCTTTTTCATTAAACGTTTGATGAACATAAAAAAGAAAAATTGCAAATTCCATGTCATTTATGCCCTCATTTACCTAATGATATTGCTCCCCAGAGATACAGACAGCTCGCGTTTCATCAAGTGAAAGAGATTACGTCTTAAAAACTTGTTTCTGTGCTCTAAAAACAGCACTGAGCCCTACCCGGCAGGGACAGATGGTCATCAATAAATGAAGTTTCTGAGCAGAAACATTTCCAGTGCCTACAGCCAGCCCTGGAGCTGAGCCTGCACGGAGGCACAGTCATGGGCATAGTGAGGATGAGAGCTTACCTCCTTGAGCTGTCAAGCTCTCTTCACCGTGAGCCCGAGAAAATTCCCAGGAGAGATTCACCACAGAGCAGTGTGCAAAAACCTACCTGTTCTCACTCCGTATTTCAGTGTGTCCCGACAATCCACCAGAATCTGCTCCAGGGACTCAGGGTTGTCTGAAAGCTCCAGGTTGAAGCCCTCCATGCCCTCCAGGAGCTGATGTGGGTGGTGGAAGTCCAGCACTTTGGTGGATCTGTCAAAAGTCTTCCTCACATAGTTGAGGAGGATGTCCACAACCTCCAGCAGAAACTGCATGGTCTGCTCCTCACCATTCTTGGAGGGCAACAAATCTGTGGGGCAAACCAGCAGTCAGTGCTTGCTTTGGGAGAGAGAAGCAGAGATGAACCAGCCCCGGCTGCCCACAGCATTCCAAGGAGCTGGAAGCTGTGGTCCCAGCACTGCCTGGCTGCAGCTGGGCAGACTCCCGGTCCCTCTTGCCCCGTGGAGAAGGGCGAGCCTGGGTCACCCATGGCAGCAGCAGAGGTACCTCCAAGGCACCCCGGCCTAAGAGCACGCCCTGCAATGCAAAGGTTGTGCGGCACGAGGCACTTGCCTCCTGTGGGCCAAAAGCACCCAAAATCCACACCTGCCCTTACCTTGAGCATCCCACCTCCACCCCACAAAGGGATTGCTGTCCCTTTCCCACTCCTCTTGCAATGGCCCCATACCAGCAATCACAGGCTGCTTCATTACTACTTTACTAAGGAGGATAAAAACATAGAATTACTCTCCTCCCAGATACTGGATGTGGAGAACCCCCTGCAACCCCTGAAGCTGAGCTGCAGATGATTAGCCCAAAGTACATAAAACTGCTTTTCAGGCAGCTTGCATACATCACCAGTGCAGCTCCCAAAAAACACAGACACAGAGCTCCCTTCAAAAGCAGCCAAGGAAAAACACAGCCTAAACATGGCTGCACTTCCAGGGGAGATGAGGGCAAGACTACTAAGGGACATGCCTGAGCTGGAGCAAGGAAAAACTGTAAAGTGTTTACCTCTGGCATACAGATTGGAAAAGTCTGTCTCGGTGCGCCGGAACCTGGATCCCTTCTCACTGTTCTCGCATGCCAGCATGCTCTTGGAGGACTGCCTTTCCTTCAGAGAGCTGACGATCCGGCCCTTGTCTTCCAGGCTGTTGGTCCTTTGCAGGAATCCTACATTATTATTGCAAGGTGCACAGGTCAGAGTTTTCTCACTTCCCAACATGTTTAGAAATAACTAAAGCAGCTCTCTAGACACCAGTTAAAAGCAGTGTTAGCTCTAGATCTGACTAATGAGGTCAGGAATAAGGGTATTTATGGGGATTATTTGCCTCCAGGAGGGAGAGTTCAAAATGCCATCAACTGCAAAAACGCAGCCATGCAAAAAACAAAATTTCATCATTTAGTGCACTGGTAAATTCTTATTAAGTCGATCAGACAGATTCCACTTCAGTAATCAGCTGAAGAGAGTTCAGGATGAGTCAATGCTATTTCAGCCTGCAGGCGAAGTTTATGGACCTAGCAGACAGGGGCAATGATGTACGATTAAAATCAGGGCCATTTTCAGCTCTCCTCGTGGTGTTCTCACGCACAAAAGGCATGAGAACAAGCAGCCATTCTGGAGCATCCGTCCTGAGAGTGCTAGAGCTCTGAGGATACCAGTAGCACATATACAACCCCACCTTCCTATTATCAGTAAGTACTGAAGCGGATTTTCCACCTGAAAAGATGCTTTGACCCTAACAGTAATCATTCCCCGGAGGTCTTAAGAGCTCCGCTCTCATCGGAAACGCATCTTTGGCACCCAGAACCCGAACACAACTGCTGCTGTTATATGCCACGGCAATAATAAACCCACTCACCCCAAGAATTATTGGGGCGGGAGCCATGCACAGTCCGCAGCGAGTAGTGAGGTCTACTTTAACAAGGCAGGGAGAACAATTAAGTTTCTGGATTTAATATATTAAATATATGATGCCCACTAAAACACGCATAGTGTCGGGCTTTTTGTCTTTGAGGAACGCATCGGATTTTGACCTTCCGGGTTGCACGGAGTGTGCCTGTATGTTTGGAAGAGGCACTACAGTGGCGCCGGTCTCCTTTATTCTTTATTTTCTTTTAAAACAAGCAGCAATCGAAAGCAAGGCTCGTCGCGGCTGGGGATATCCGCCAGAGGGCTCAGCAGGGAGGAAAAACTATGTCCTGAGTTCGCTCACCCACGTTCCCCGACGCCGCTTCTCTTCAGCGCCCGCCGCTTTCCGGCCATACGTCCCTGCTTTCCGGAGCCGAGACGGCGGACCGGGACTGTGGGCACCTCCCATGGGGAGCCCACCGCCGGCCCACTCGGGACCCCTGCACCTTGGGCAGGCATAGGGGCTGAACGTCGCGGGAGAAAAGCGAGCGACAGTGAGCTGCTGGGCCAATTGCTCGCGGCGCTGTACCTGTGCCTCGGACCCTGCTGCCAGCCAGGCGGTCACAAAAAAAACATCGAAAACGGAGCACTTGGCTGGCAGGTCCTTCTGCATCAGTCGGGTACCCAGACGAGTCTCCAGGAGTGTCGCTCACAGGTAAATTTGTCAGAGCCATACTTTCAGTGAACATCGCACGTTCTGCCTTTTAATTCTGATCTTCTACTGACTAGTCTTTTTCTGTGATGCTTTTACGAATGAGACAAAGACTATTTAAGGGAAACTCTCTTCATGCATAAGTTCAGAGTAGCCGTCCATATATACACATATATATATATATGTAATACATACATATATATGTATATATATGTACTGCTTCTAATGGCTCTTGCAGGGATCATTATCTCCTGCAACAGCTAGTGCTATTTTCCTGCTCATTAGGAGGAGCAGCAGATATCAAAGCAGGTGCAGTCTAATCTGAATTATGGATCCTCTGTTACCAGGTCCCGGGGCTTGATTTTTCTTTGTTTTCCCTCCACCCGTCTTTTTTTCAGGCTCTCAGTAGCGATGCTCAGGTGGGACGGGTTCCGTGAGAAGAGACGCCCGCAGGAGCAGCCGCGTTCCGCTCGCCCCGAGAGCCGCGCTCCTGGCACAGCTGGCGCTCCCCTCGGCGTGCAGACGAGGGCTGGGAAAGAGGCAGCACCGCTCCAGTAACAGAGGAAGGCTGCAGTCGCCTCCAGCTCAACTCTCATCGGGCCTAGCGAGGCCGTGCCATCGCTGAAGGGTCTGACCTAACTAGACGCTGCGGGCAGGAGCTCAGTCCTTGCCCGAACGACTCTGGGCTGTTGTTCCCCGCGGAGGCTCCCCGGCCCCGCCGTGTCCCGCAGCCGGCGGCGGGGATCAGCTGGGGCTCGGAGCGGCCGCGCGCGGGGCCTGTCACCCTGCGCCTCGTGGCGACCCGGGGATCGGGAGACTCGAGGGCGGAGATTAGAGGACGAAAAAAGCCTGAAGGCAGGATCGCGCTGTCGGCCGACATCAGCCCGCCCGGCTGTAGGTGACATGCCTTTCCCTCCAGTCCCTCGGCTACGGCAGTGTCTGGTGGACCTGGAGGCTCGGTATAAGGGGAAGCCCGTGGGACAGAGACAGCCCCCGCTCTGCAGCCGCCGGACCATTTCGTTTGCCGAGCCCCTCTCTGGGAGGGTGTGGGACGTTCCCCAGCGCCGTCGCTGTCTGCAGAGAAGCGTAACAGCCGGCCCTCGAAGGCTCCTTCCGCTCCCGGGGAGAAGCGCATGACTGTAGCCGACCTTTCATCTGTATCCTGCCTGAAAAGCGACGCCGGTGTAGGACACTTCCAGCAAGTAGCAGAGTATGAAATAGTGTCCGCGCTGCTTCTCCCGGAGCAGCCTCTTTCAGCAGTAGGTCCGTTCCGCAGGTGCATTTTCACCGATGTGCTTTAAGAGACCGAGTTTCCAAGAGCCCAGTGGCACCAGACTGGCGAGGGAGTACCTCGGTGCGCAACGCCACCACAAATTCAGCGTGATTTCACATCAGGCCTCGCACAAGGCAGGTGTTGAGCCCCCTCGGCGCCGCAGCCCTGGGTGGACACTCGTCTTCGGGGACAGTCCTGCCGGGTCCCTGCGCCACCGCAGCCATCGGGGGTGCACGGCGGTGGCGGCTGCAGGAGATCCTGGACCCCGCCGCCGTCGGGGTGTTTAGCACCACCCACGTAAATTATGCTTGGCAGCATAAATCCCACGGACTCCGGAGACAAGCCCAGTTTCTAGCATGCATGGCTGCTTTGGAAGCTCCACTCTCCCACGTTGCTCACTGGGTTTGGAATCATCAGCTATCCGAGGCCAAACAGGAGACGCACCGGAGCAATTTTACTACGTTGAACATTCCACTGGTGCCAAATGTTAAACAGGATCAGTCTCAGCAGTAACAATTGCCATGGTGGGAGGGTAGCATACAAATCCAGATACAGGGGGAAATCTGCCCATATTTTGGCCGCCGTGACAGTTCATTAAACCTCTTACTCGCACAAGGCAGGTGTTGAGGGGTTTTTTTTTTTTTTTTTTTGGGTTTTTTTTTTTTTTTTTTTTGGTTTGTTTTTTTTAGGTGGATATGTGCAGAGATGAAGGGGGGGAAGGGGTCGGGAGGGCTGGGGGTGGTGGTAGCGGCAGTGCTCTTTCCAGGTGGTGGCTTTCAACCAGAAAAGGAAAAAAAGCTAATCCTTAAATCGCTCAGTTATTTAAGAAGAAATACGTACATCTTGGATACGTAATTATTGAAAATGTCAAACCCATAATACACAACTCAGATGGAAGAACCAACTCATTGTTCAAGACCTGCCTTTTCTCTGAGGTCAACGCTTATTTAAAGTTTGCATTCAAAATTAATCGATTTCAGTGCGATACACACAAAAGGAACAATTCCAAGGCGCCTTTGTGACTATACAATATTTAGCATCCGGAATGACATCTTGTGAAAGGTAAGGACAAGAAGGTATCACCTGCAACAGTCAAATGTCAATTCGTTTAGCATGTTTAATTAGGATTCTTGGCAACCTTAATACTTCACTGTGTTTACCATAGGCAACCTTCCCTATGTCTTTGTGAAGGTGTTCGATTCGAATGGGAGGGCTCATACATGCAAAAACAGCGGTCGTGATCAAATCTGAGTATTCCAAAATGGCATCACTCACTATTCAGAGTATATTTTTCATGTAAAACAGAAAAGAGCCAGTAAAGGAAAACAGCACCAAACCACAACCAGAAATACAGCTTGTCTTGAACTCCCTTCACAAAGCCTTCACTACGCTCTCTTATGCCCTTCTCAAATCCAAAATGGTGGGATATTTCATTTTCAAGCGCATTTGATCTCACTGAGAGAAGCTGCGCTGTCCTTCTCTAACCCCCACAGTCTAGCAACACGGAGCAAGCCTAAATGCGTTACTTTATCAGTTCTGCTTGCCGGGCTTAATTAAAATGATGGTGAAAATGCCCATCGCTCCAGCCACTGAGGGGACTGGTAGGGAAATGGTCCATTAAACCCAGATCAGGAGCTATTTATAGAACTAAGCGACTACTCGTTAATGTCGCCAGCGGCTACCAGTGAAATCTCTCACAGACACGAGGCTAAACATTTGCACCCCGATTCTTTTCCCGTTCCAACTTCCAGGTGACAAACGCTTAATGAATGAACTTCGACTCGAGCAAGCAGGGAAAGAGGTTTAAAGAGGTTTAAATGTCCCTTTGCATCGAAAAAAAGGTTCGTTTCTCCCACGACATATTTCTCATCTCCCCCCACCCCCCAAAGAGACAGAAGGGAAAAGGGGAAATAATTTCTATGCGTCAGGGTTTGGGCTAAACGGAATGATTCCCTCATCAGAATATGAAGATTTGACTGTTAGCCTCTGAAAGCGAAGGCGCTACTGAGATATCTAGAGAAGGAAGACAGCTTGTTATCTGCAAATGAATCTCTTGCTATAACGTTGCGATCTGATTGTGCATTTGTTTCCCTTCTGCATTTCATGTGCCTGCGCGCTGACTGGCTGCCAGCGCTATCTTACCAGCACAGCAAGCTGACGAATTGCTCTTTAATAAGGCTCTCGTTAATCTTTTTTTCCCCAGGAGATCCGTATTTTCTAGTCAGATAAGGTTGAAAAATTTCAGACAGTGAGAGGCGGCGAACCGGTCCCCCGCCCCCAGCTTTTCCTCCCCACGGGTCTCCCCGGCGGGTCCTGCGCTTTTTTCACCCGGAGCGCCCGGCGCCTGCACCCCCCGAGTGCGGCAGGAGGGGCAGCGGGGCCGCCGCCGTCCCTCCCGCGGCGAACAAACCGCGGCCCCGGCACGGCGAATGCCCCGCCGGGAATGCCCCGCCGGGGCGGCCGCGTCTTCACGCGTGGGTGCGCGGGGTGCCGTACGGGGAGGCACGGCCGCACTTACCGCATATCTTCAGCCCGATCTTCCTGGTGCACCCGTGAGCCACGCCGCACCACGAGTCGTAAGCTGGAAGAGAGAGCAGAGTTGTTCCCGTGGGGCGGCGGGGCTGTCCGGCCGCCGCGCCCCCCACCCCGGACCCCCGCACGGCTGCATCGCGGTGAGAAACGGCTGACTACGAGCCCGGCGGCGCTGGGCGCGGGGCAGCTGAGGCTCGGATGACAGCGAGGTGACATGCTGGCCTGCCCAGAGGAGAGGAGAAGGCACCCGGGACCCGACATCTCATCATTTACTGGCGGGGCTCCAGGAAAGTAGCAGCTTAAAATAAAGTGGCGTGAAATGGGGTCACAAAAGAGTTCATGAATTAATTGGGTGAAAAATAGTATTTGACTAGATGATCGGACTCGCATCATTGAGCCTCGGACGGACTGACGGGCGCCGACGGCTCTACTGGGACCGCACCCCCAGAGGGAAAATGCTGCTTCCCAGCCCCTCGAGTCGTGGCTCACGTGGCCCCAGCTGAGCCCACGGGAAGCGGGGAACGAAGCCCAGGACCGAGGTGGAGGGTGCGCCAGCCGCGGCCACGGGCACTAGCCAGCCTCTCCCGTCCGTCGCTCGCGGCACGGGGCAGCCGCAAGTCCGGTAGCGATGGACCCCAGAGGGCGACCGGGGGCTGGGCTGGCTGACCCGGCGTTGGGGCGTGAGGGGAGAAGGTTTCAGAGGAACCGGGACGAGGACGGCTCACGCAAGCACGGAGGGCAGCGGCCTGACTCCCGGGGAGGGGAAAGCGGGGGAAAGGCCACGGCGCTCCCGACCGGGCGGAAGAGCCCGCTCGGCGGGGGCGCTGCCAGGGCCCGGGGGCGGGGAGCCCGTGTGGGCAGGGCAGGATGCCGCTGCCAGCGGTTATCTTTGTTTTAGCCGTGTTGCCCATTAACTCGATTTCTGCGAGTGACACCTCAGTCGAAGGCAGCAGTGCCTGCCAAGCGCGCCTAAAACAAGACCCAGTGCTGCCGTTCGCCCCCTTCCCCGTTTTTTCTAGTTTCAGAGTAATGACAATAATGACTCTGATGCTCACGTCTGGTAGCTCTTTCAGGGTAAAAGCTATTACCCGCTCTGCTGTCCCTGACAACCTTTCATTTCTTACTGTTGCCCGCTCTTTGTCTCTGATGCTTCATAGCATCGAGCCTCTTATTGTTTGGGTTTTTATTTTTTTTTTTTTTCCTGTAGGGGATGGTCTGAACTGCCTGGCAGGGTTATGAACTGATTCTCTATCCACCTGCAGCAGCCTTTGCTTCCCACTCACACCTCAATAACTCAAGGCGAATTCAGAGCAATTAGGAACATAACGCTTTGAAAAGCTGTAATTAGCATCCAAATTTCGCTTGATTACAGGCTTCAGCGTAGGCTGAAAGAAGCTGCAGCATTAGCATTTATAAAATGTAGCTGGGAGACACCTGCTTTAATACCCTGGTGTAACTTTGCCCTTTAATTGATTCGTTTTCTCTGCACCCCTTCCAACATCCCGATTTTTTTTTTTTTTTTTTTTTTGTCCATCTGGGAGGTCAGTTTATTCTCTGTATCTCTCAAACGTGGCTGTAAGATAAAGACAACGTTGGGCGGTAAGGTGGGCTTTTCCCCACAGCGTTTTATTTGCCACGGACCGACCTCTCCTGTTTCCACCAGGAAGATGGTTTCTTTGTGTAGAGCACTTTCCGCACCTTGCTAAATGGCGTGGAACAGGGCTTCATAGATGTATAATTTCGTTTCGAAACTGGTCTTTCTGAGCCTAAATGGAGAAAGCCTCCAAAACAGTTAAAACGAGAAAAATATTAAAACCTACTTGTAGGTCGCAGATTAGGTGGGGTGGGGTCTGGAGCATCGTTGGAGGACGAGGGAGCGGAGGAAGCCATTCCTTCAGAAAAGCCCTAGTCCCCGGAGCTCGTATTTCCTCGATATTCCTCTGAGGGGTGGGCAGCAAGGAATTTGCTGGAAGGAAGAACAGGCTGGTTTAGCAGTCTCCTAGAGCACCGCACCGGAGTCCCGTCCAGACGCCAGCGGGCGGCAGCCGCGCAGGTCCCGAGGCGGCGGCAGGACCGGCCGAACCGGGAAAATGCCTCAACAGACTGAAGAGCAAAATCTTCCCTTCGCTAGATTCCAGGGCGCTACCCCCCGCCCCTGAATGACGGATTTAGCAGAGCATGAAGCCTAGAGCAATTATATCGGTGGCCACTGAGCAGGGCAGTTATACGGTTCGCATCAAATGGAGACCAACGTGCAAAGCGGGCTTCGAAATCACCAGCCCAAACGACCTACAGTCCCAGACACAGCCCGCTTCTAGGCTTTACCAAACACACGTCAGGCTAAGCATTCAAGAAAGACTGACAGACAAAACCCCGCCACCACAAAGGTGCGTTTTGCCGAGGTCCAATGGCAGGCGCTACATACATGTGTATTTGCACACACATGTTTCAGCACACCGGGACCACTCTGTGCTCCAGCACTAACCAGCGATCTCCCGTGCCCGTGCTCGCTTTAGCGGCGCAAATGGCAGGAGAGGCACGTCTGTCTGGGGAAAGGAAGGTGCAGGACCAGCCCTCGCTCCTCGCCAGATGTTCAACTCTTTCCTGGCGGACACGGCGTTCCGATAACCAATACAGGGTCGCTGATCGAGAATTGCCGGGTCACTGCCCAGCTCGTCTCTTTGTCCCCACGTCTACCTGCGATTTATTTTCTTCCCCTTGTAAAGAAAATGAAGGTCGCGGTAACGAAAGAACGCTTTCTTTGTTAGCGGCTTTTTTCAAATCGGTAGCTACCGATTTATTTCCACTGCTGGGTGGATTTACACCCGCGTGTAAACGCAACGGATCAATGATTTCAATGCAAAACAGGTATTTAAATTTTTTAAGACGAGAAAGAAAACAGCCATAAGCAGAAGATATTTTCTAGACAATGCCTAGAAGTGAAGTAACAGGTTAACACTATGTCTAGGGCGGTAGCTGTATCAAAAAAGCCGTTATTCCTCCATTCATACGACAGCGACCAAAACCGATTTTTGGGAGAAAAAATGTTCCAGAGGTTCCCAAAGGCTTGGAAAAAAATAGGATGCTGTTTAGAGGACACTTACCGAGGGGGCGAGCGGACACTCTTATTGCCGTAGTCCAGGTTGGCAGGGCGACTCTAGCCTGGGAGCGACCCGCCGCTTATAAACTCTGCCAGAAACGACGTCGGAATACCAATCGCGCCGCGGAATTTAATGCGAGATGACCTTTTTTTCCAGAAGTGCTCGGATTTGCTTTTTTAAAAGCGTGAATCGCCGGTTGATCTGCTTCGACGCAGGCATGAGTCACAGGACTGCCGCCACCGCCTCCGCGCCGCTCCGCACGGGGGCTGGGGACGGCTGGGGCGGGGACGGGCGGCCCACCGGCCCCGGCTGCTGCCGCTGCTCTGCTTCGCCCCGGGGCGGCGGGGCTGACTCCCGCGGCGGGTGGGGCTGTCCAGCAGCGGCAGGAGCGGCACCCCCGGCAGGCGGTTCTGCCGTGCGAGCCCCTCGTGCGGACGGAGCCAGAGGCTTTCCCTAGACAGCGCCGGCTTGACCCGAGGTCGCCAGCTGTGCCAATAGGCACCGAACACATCGGCGCACCGGTGAGGCGATCCCTGTGGCCCCGGCCCTCCCCTGAGCCTGGTGCGGAACTCAAATGAGCCAGGATGGGTTCGTGTGAATTGTAGCTTAGCAACACCCCCTGTCCCCCCCTCCGCCGTGCCGAGGGTCTGATGTGACCCGCTGGCTCAGCCCGCTGTTCCCGCGGCTCGCCCCGCTCCTCCCCGCCAGAGGGTGGCAGAGGCACGGGTACCGCTGCAGCGGAACACCTGGATGCCTGTGACTTGCCCTCAGTGTTGCCATTAGATTACGATTTTATCCAGACATCCCTTTGCTAAAACCAGAAGCACCAAAACAGCAAGATTTTTGTACCCCGACAATCCCAAATCTGCGTTACTCCATCCCACACCCCGAACATGCTTAGCCAACATTTTGTGGTTGTGACAGCGGTGCTGTATTTCAGCATGTCACGGTAACTACGCAGATGCCTAAACCAAACCCTTCTCAAAAAGATGTCACGTAAGAGGCCGAGAGGAATCCGCAATGAGAAGAGAGGAGGGGAACCAGCCGATGGAGCCAGAGAATTTCATGCTGTGCAGGAGATGCTGGGCAGTACAACGAGCAGCAGGGTTGTGTCCTTTCTGAAGGACTCGAGGGAAAAGCAAAAACTTACAAGCCAGCTTGGTAAAGGAAACCGTCCGACTGACAACATTAAGTAGCCAAGACGACTGCTTTGCCGAGCACACTTACTCTCTAGGAACTAGACGTGTAACAAAAACAGCGACAGCACAAAGGCCAGTTTTTAAACATACCTTTACAGATATTAATGGCCCTAGCTAACACGACCTTTTATCATATCTAGACTATCATTTTTAAGCTGGTTTCAACCAATTGAGCAAGACATTTGCTCAGCGCAGAGTGTAATAAATATAACTGTAACTAATCGTCTTTATAAATGTAAACAAACGTTCAAAGGAAGTCTTGGCAGGACTGCAGCACAAAGAGTCAACGAAAGACCACACAAAGGACCCCTAAGCCATCAGTCACTGTGAGGCGCGACCCGGCCGGGTGGATGCCCGACACGCTTATTCCTTTCCTTCTGGCTTTCCAGAAGTGCGTGTGTCTCGAGTAAACAGACATGGTTTAACATAAATATTTACATCCTCGTAGATCTGAGGCCAGCGAGGGGAAGGAGCCAGACAATGAAGTCAGCGAGCCTTCCGCGGCACGCTGGAGATACGACTCTTTCCAGCACCTCGAGGAGCCCGGCGGCGCGGCGCTCGCGGCTCTCCGCTCAGCACCGCGGACAGCGCCCGCTGCGGCCCGGCCCCGCAGCCCCGGCAGGGCGAGCGGCACGGGGCGCGGGCAGCAGCCGCGCACAGCCCGGGCGGGCGTGCGGAGCGCTCGCTCCCTCCCGGCCGCGCAGGAGGAAGCCGAGAGCGAGCCCCGCCGAGCCCGGCCCCGCCGCCCGCCTCACGGCCCCTCTGGGCGGCGCTGCATCGCAAGCCCAGACGCTCCGCTAAGCCCCGGCAGAGCCCGCCCGGCCGCCGCTGCGGCTGCTCCGAGCCCGGGCTCACCACAGCTATTCGTCCTGGCCCGGCGGCGGCAAGGGGAAAGCAGCAAACCCTGGGGCTCCGCGGGTCCCTCCCTCGCTCCTCTGCAGCGTGGCTGTACAGCACGCCTGGAAACGCTTGCCAACTTTTATTTGCAAAGGACCCGCTTGAAAATCCGACTTAAACCCGAACCACTCCAGTTCAGCGGCTTCATTCAGCACTTGCCACACCAGCTGAAATCTTTGAAACACCCTTGCCAGGTGTACACGCCCAGGCTAGGGCACTCAGAGATGTGCCGATTTCACCGAGAGTTCAAAGTCTTCCCCTCCAGCTGTGCTGCTCAAGCAATCAACTATTTTCTCCTTGCATGTGACTGTCCCTTCCCTGAGGCTACTGCTCGAGCGCACTCTAGGCACAGGTTACAGAAAATATCTTCGCAGCTGGGGACCCAGAAGACTTGGGCTTTGCTTTGAATCCAGATGTTTACCGAGGATGTGAAACACACAGGCAAAACCATTGATGCACAGTATCAGCAAGACAGTAGGATGAAGACATATAATTCCCTTAGCTGAAGCTTGTAAGCAGCACATCAGTTAGAAGTCAATTTAAAAGCCAGACAATGGGGTATTTCTTGAATTCACCTCCATCCACAAACTGCACTAAATATAAATGCTAAAATATGAATCTTGAATACTCTGAGTGGGCAAAGGAATGAACGTGATGAAATAAATATCTTTAACAACAAAGACTACTCAATAATTATGACATTTTTATAGATGTGGACATATAAACAATGCAGATAAACCCCACTATTTGTACTGCAACCTGTAGATTTGAATAGCCACTGCATTTGGAGCTGCATACAATATTTCAAGAGAGAGATGAGCGCCTCCTGCCTACCCTGTAAGGAGGTCACAAGCTACATGAAATGGAGAGGCAAATAGAAAAAATGTCCCTGTGCCATAACACTTATTTCTTCATATTCCGAACTACAGTCATGTTATACATGCATTTATCTGCAGGCAGGACAGCACATTTGACTTCTGGTGATTATTATTATTATTGGGGGGTTCCCTCCATGAATGCTCTGTGTTGCCTTTTAATTGCCATTTTGTGTGGATTATGAATATTTTAGCAGGCTGGGATTAGGCAAATTCTTTCCTTTAAACTGTATACAACAATAAGTACAGACAACATCTAGGATGGTTCTGGACTTGTGGGTTTGTATTTCTGTCTTTGCAGCCTGTGATTTTTTTTTTTTTTCTTTTTATAGTAATACAGCTAAAATTTGTAAGCCAGTACATTATTACAAAATATATTTATCGCATCAAGTATCTGTTTCTTTTCCTACAATTTCTGGTATACAAAAATGTCTACTTTACCTGTATCTTAAATGGAATAATTTAAATAATAAATTTCATTAACTCCTGACATAGAAAAATTGGAAAATTGTTCAAAACTAAGTGTTTCAGACCTTTTCTGGCTATCATCTTCAGTACTTAAAAATACAGATACTAAATTCCTGCATATCCATAATGAAAAAAATGAACACACCGAGAGAAAAAATAACATATTAGTGCTTTGATTATTTGGATTATTTGGCCCTGTCCAGAAAATTCTACAAATGGAAATTTGGTGAAGACTGTGGATTTATACTCCTAATCTACAGACAACTTTTGGTGTTTTCTGTAACTTGACAAAAACTAATCAAAGATGAATGATATGTTTGCTTTGGGTTTTATGAACAGCCAGTACTGATGTACCCAACTGGCCCATATTTAAGGATCATGTACATCACTCGAATTTCAAAGACAGCTCAATATGAACTGCCAGACAACATTCAGCACTGCTGTGATGAAGGGCATTTAGAAAAGTCTAATCTGAAGCACATTGTTTTACATACTTTGTGGCTTCTTGTTTCAGGATGTCCCCTTCCTGATCCATGCTGGCATGTCTTGTTGTCCATTTTGATCTGCTTCATCTGAAAAACATCCCAAAGAACAACCAACATCCTGAAACAACAGCAGCAGAAAATCCCAACTCCCAATAACCCCAAACAAACATGGAAAGAAACAAAGAATCACCTTACTTCCAAGCTGTAACAAAATAAAAGCTTTTTTATCTAGATGGATCAAACAAAATCACTTGAGTCAGGTAACTGTGATTGCAACTTGAAAGAATAGCAGAAGTGATAGTATACCAGTAAGTCCACTCTCTACCAGTTTTAGGAGATTGCACTTTTACCCTGTGTCTGAAAGGAAATTTATTTCCCACCTCTCCCAGTAACCCTGTAGAGCCAAGACAGCTAATGCCTGGATACATTTCCTCTTATGATATTATAATTGATACATATCACTGAATGATATCTTTTTATCCCATAGGAGGGCATCAGTTTACAATGAGAACATTCAGCAGTTTCAGGAATGCTGCTGCAGAAGATTGTGCAGTTTGACTCTCCAATCTCAGAACAGATGTGGAGAGCTGGATTCTGGGATTTTTTAACATACGATTGTTTCAATTAAGCATATTTCACAAATAATCCTCAGGAAACAAGAAGCATGGGCTTTTCTGTTACTTAAAAAAAAACCCAAACCACTTCTCAAATCATAACTGAATTTCAGATATGGGCTTTGCAAGTCTCAAAAGTTTTCAGGATCATTAGAGTTGTGGTCTTAGCTAGGATTTTTTTATTGTTGTTTTGGTTGGTTGCCTTGGGTTTTTTGTTTTCGTTGTGTTTTCTGTTTGTTTAGTTTTATTTTTCCCCATTTCCCCACTCCTTGCTTTCTGATGGATAAGTCAGGTTTTGCCCTGATGAGTTGATTAGTTTGCCCTGGATAGCCATCAGTCCTAGTGAAATAGCAGACTTCCCCCAGCACTGCATTTGAAACCCTTCCTTCCTCTGGTTTCTTTTTAGCTACAATATTACAGAAATGGAAACAAAAATTGTTTCCAAAATGGAAGGTTAAGTGCACCTGACTGAAATACAGAGTTTACACAAAGCACCCACCAATACTTACATTTTTTTTAACACGGTGCAATCAAAGCACAGAAACACAAACAGGATTGTAGGAACAGCTACAAAGATGGACAGCTGGCACGCTCTACTCTGAAAAGTACAGTGGTATGTGCTTGTCTACCAAGACATGTTTGTCCACCAGAAAAAACAGATG